AGGGGGTGGGAGTGGGGGGAAGGTACAGGGGGTGGGAGTGGGGGGAAGGCCCCTCCTTGGTCCTCCCACAGGAGGTGACTCACCATGGGCTGGGGGGGTGGGGATGAGGCTGGGAAGTAGACTGTTTATTTGGGGGTTTGTGACAGCCCTGCCCCCATCCCTTCCTGGAGCCAAAGTTCTGATGTCAACCCTGGTCTCACCCAGTTTGGTGATTTCTTCTTGATTCAAAAGTCAGCCGGTCCCTGCACTCTGAGCTCAGCAGCGGGTGGGAGGCGGGTGCCCCAAGCGGAGGGGCTTAGTCCCACCCTGTGCTGGGGGCGGGGGTGGCGGCTGAATGAGGGCTGAATTCAGCGGTCACTGCCAGGACTGAGAAGGGAGCTGAGAGCCTGGGCCTGGTCCGGCCCCTGTACAGCCACACAGAGGGTGCACTGCACAACTCCAGGACAGCAGGTAGCCTTGCGCTTCCCCCCACACCCTGCAGCTGGACAGGTCCGGACCCCTCCACTTCAACTGCACCCCCCAGCCCCAGGCTGCGTCCACCTGCCAGTGCAGGCCGAGGGTGGCGGCTCACTGTGGAATGCTCAGGCTTGGGGCCAGGCCCCTCCACCTGTGTACTGAGTTGCCGTGCCCATGCCTCTGTGCCTCTATGTCCGCGTTTCCTCTGCCACCAGCAGTGTCCCCTCCCCTCTCTGCTGCCCCCACAACACCTTGTACCCTTGCCAGAGCGTGTCCCCCTGACCGTGGGAATGAAGCGTAGCACCCGGCTTGGGCTGACCCACAGCGGACAGCCTGCAGGAGATGGGAGGGGAGGGCAGACAGCCTTGAAGCCCCGGGGGGCCGCTCCCTCCCTGTTCCCACACGCTCCCCTGTGTCTTTCTCTTGAGAACTTGCCTGTCCTCCAGTGACCTGTCCCCCCAGCCAAGAACAGCAGCTGCAGACCCCCTCAGAGCCTGGGGGAGGGGGGGCATCTGTGCCTCCATTTCCTCCTCCACGGGCTGCGTCACATCTGCACACTGAGAACGTGGGGCTCCGAGAGGCCACCATCACCCTCCCCACCCGGCCAGCTCCTTGGCCGGCCCTGAGGAAGATGACTTGGTCATCGCTCAGACCTTCAAGAAGGGCCCCGGCTGCTCAGTGCCAGGAGGGCCAACAGTCTACCCCTTGGCTCCAGGGGCTGGTGGCTCTGCCCTGCCTGGGCCTGGGCAGTAGGCCCTGGGCTGCAAGCCCCCTGTGACCACTGCTTGCCAGCCCCTTTCCCTCCACGTCTTTCCCTCCTCCAGTCCCCGGCCGGTCACCACGCAGGGCTGATTCCCAGCTGACCCACTAGCCACTGTCTCTCGGGCCAACGCTCGGGCCACCTGGGCAGGGATGATGGCTGAGGTCACACCTGGGCGCTCCAGTCCTGACTCACCGGCCATGTGGCTGGG